TTCTTTCTCTCTTTAGAAAACAAACTAGAGTAAAACAAAACAAACGGGGGGGGGGGGAGCATGAAACACACACACCACAAAACTCAAAATCAGAAACTGTAATATGTAAGCAAAAGACCTGTAATGTTAAAACAAAAATGCCCAGAGAAAGCAGTATGAGAAAAAAATGTGTCCAAAAATACTACTGAATTTATTTTGTTTTGGCATCTACTACTGGGCAAGGGCCAGTCCCTTAAGTCTGGTTTGTAAGTTTTCCTTTGTGGGCCATTATCAGTTGGAGACATCTTCTGGGTTAGGGATAGGAGCTTGTGTCCACTTCCCCTCTCAGCACTGGACCTCACTGAGCCCGCCCCGTGCAGGCCCTGTGTGTGTGTGTGTCTAGAGGTCTCCCAGTGTCCACTTGTGGCTCTATTACTTCCCATCTCCTGTGGGAGGAAGCTTCTCGATGATGGCTGAGCAAGGCTCTAGTCTTTCTGTCTAGTAGAATGCTGTTAGGAGTCATTTGCTTGCTGTTCCTTCAGCAGAACAATCGTATTTGGTTTTGCAAAGCCAGTAAGAATCTCAGCCTCTGATTCCTTAGAAAGAACCCCAGGAGTCTCTCCCAAGCTGCTGGCACGTAGACCTCTGTTTTATATTGCAAATGGCATGATCTTTGGAGGGCCAGGGTAATTTTAGGTTGCTTATCTCTAACTTCGAGACTTTGCAAAGCAGGCTCACTGCATGAATAGATGACCTCTCTCCGGATCCTGTAATTCTGCATGTGTTGCAAAACTCATCTCAGATTATAGAAGAAAGAAGAAATCTGAACAAACACAGCAAGCCTTGTCCTCCAGTTTGAAACATTTTACTCTGGAACAATACTCCTCCAGAGTTCATTTCCTGTGCTCCGTCACCAACCACTTTCAGCACAGTCCAGGCCTCTGGCCCTTTGAAGTCAGAAAGTTCTAGACTCCCGCCAATGACTGACACTTAGGTTAACCTCTGAGTAGTTTCTACTTTTAGTTGCTTGATTATGATTAAGAGTAGGTGAGGCTTACTAGACGCTCTGGTGTAGAAAATGTAGACCTTCAAGAAGATGGAGTGTTTTAGGCCTCCCCATCCTTTCATCTTGGGCCTTGTGTGAGTAGAAAGGTAACTCTCCTATCCCTAGGGGCTGCTTGTGGTATGTTTCAGTTAGTTTCACACTAATGATAAGGGACAGGGCGCTCAGGAGTTAATTAATCAATGGCGCCACCTGGTGGCCCAAGTGTGCATTTTGCGATGTCTGTGACCCTCATTTCTCTCCCCAAACACCCCTCTATGACCCTATCTCTGCTTCAAATATGAGGTCTCCAACTTCTGATCTTCCTGCCTCCACCTCCCAAGTGCTGAGGTCACAGGCAGGCACCACCAGCCCTGGTTTTCTTCTTTCCTAGTTTTGATTTAAAAGAACAGCAATAAGTCTCCTTGGGTTTTGAAACAGTTTATTTAAAAAAACAAAACAAAAAACTCTTTAAATTAGTTTAGGCAGGGGCAGGAAACTCATGATGGTACAAGTCTAACCTGGCAGCTGGAACATCTCCTGCCCCCACGATTGCTGTGAAGGTTTCCACAGGGCCAGGCCCTAATTGGGAGGTGGTAACCAATGCCTGTGAGGATGCAGGTTGTTTGGCTGGTCTCCTTTCCTGGTTTCACCCTGGCTGTAGCCAGTCACCAGGCAGCTGGCGGTTTCAGTGCTGCCTGACTCACTCTCATCAGTCATCTGTCCTTGCTGCTGCCAAGGTCCTGCCTGGTTCCTAACTGTTGAAGGGGATCGTAGACGGATGGATGGATTAGTTGCAAAGTTGCATTGTAGAGACAAATATCACTTTTTTTTTAAATTGGCAGAAGGCCAACTTAACTGCATTCCTTCCTTGTTGAATAGCTTGTTGTAGCTGGGCTGGAGAGAGGGCTCAGCAGTCAAGATCACTGGCTGCTCTTTCAGAGGACCTGTGTTCAATTCCCAACACTTACACAGCAGCTCACAACTGTGTATTATGTCTCTAGGGGATCCTACGCCCTCACAGACACATACATGCAGGCAAAACACCAATGCACATAAAATAAAAATAAATAATTGAAAAAATAGCTTGTAGTATCAGATCTTTAGTATATTTTCTGTGTAGCAACTATACTCAACCCCTGTTTGTAAAACTTCATTTTGGCAAGCAAGCAGCCTAGTTTGAATACTAGCCCAAACCAACCAAACAAACAAATGCAGCTTAAATGCTTACCAGCCTCTGGGAAATGATTCTGGGGTCAGGATTTCCTAATATGCATGTCTTCCAGGAGGCTTTCTTAGGATAAAGGAATAATTCCATTTGTAAGAATATACTTCTGTATGGATGAACAAGAACTGAAGAGGAACTTGCCATAAGTCTGACATTTAAGTAAAGCAGCTTTCCTGTCAGGACTCTTCAGCTAACTCAAGGTTAAGGAAAATCACTTGGGTGTTAGGAATATCTATTAAGAAGGAAATTAATTCAGGCTGGCAAGATGCCGCAGAGGGAAAGGTACTTACCGCCATGCCTTATGACAGTTCAATCCCGAAACCTCACACTAGAAGGAGAGAATCCCATATAATTTGTCTTCTGACCTACATATGTAGATCATGGCATGCATGTGCCTCACACAAATACAACTAACTAACTAAGTGGGTTTTTATTTTAAGGATGAGTTTGTGGCAACCCTAACATTTGTTTAGTTTGCTTTTGAGACAGTGCCTCACTGTATTGGAGGTTAGCCTTGAATTCATCAGTGTGCTGGAATTGCAGGCATGAAGCACTGTATAGGGTCTTGATACTTTTAGTCATAGGATTGCTAAGGACTGACTCATCAAACATGGCTCATGTATGGAATGCATTCAGAGTAGAGTCAACGTGAGAATAGCTTGTTTGGTTTTATTGAGACAGAGCCTCCCTCTGTTGCTTAAGCTAGCCTGAAACTCAACCATGTAATCTAGGCTAGCCTTAGACCCCAGACAGTCCTTTTGCTTCAGGTTCCTAAGATCTAGAGTTACAGGCATGAGCCACTGCACCCGGCTTAACTAGCATTTTTTTTTTTTTTAATCTGAGGGGAGGCCAAGCACAGTGTGTAAGCAGAATATTTCAGTAATTTTTGTGATTTATGTCACATTTTGTCTGAGGCATGCCTTCCTCCCTGTGTGTTTGGGTTGCCTTCAGATCTAAATTTCTAGTGACTTTCCCTGGCAAGATGGAAGCGTCGCCAAGCCTCAAGGAAGCTTCCTGTGGTCATATAGAACACCAAGAAAGATTTTTCTGCCATGGTGGAGATTTATTATATGCATATCCAGACCTTAGGATATGCATATAATAGGGCTCTTAGGTCATTATTGCAGAGACAGGCAGTTCCAGCAGTTTGAGTGTATCTGTTATCGTTACATTTGGAAAGTTTCCATATTTGCCTATGAGCATGACCTATGAACCTACTGGCAGAAATTATGTCTGTCCATGATACTGCTAAACAGAGTTGTTCTTATGCACACTGTCTTCTAACATGCTTTTCCTCTTCCCATTTTCTGCACCTCTTCTGGCATTAGAGTTCACTGATGTCAGCCTGTATTTAGAGAACTTGCTGGGTGGTAGTGGGTGATGGGATGTGTGTGACTCTTGCAAATGAGAGCAGCATGTTCAAAGGAAAGAGCAGAGCTTTCAAATAGAACATTTTATAGGAGATGGGGGATCTGAGGAGAGCCTGGGAAACTATCAGTTGAGGAACGGGATGTAGCTCAGTGATAGACCACACACACACACACACACACACACACACACACACAGAGCCAGAAAAGAAAGCAACAGACCGTGCACTGGGGGATGGCGAATTAGAAAGAAAGAAAGAAACTGGATAGATTACAAGGGAAGTGTCATCAAATTCCAATGACAATTTTTGGTGTTAAAGATTCATTAGCTAGAACTTTTCCCCCTATTATAAGGCACAGTACACCGTGTCGCTTGTTTGTGTGCCATGTTCATCTAGCCTAGGGTTTCTCAACCACAGCCATGCTGACATTTGGGTTATCTGCTGTGAGGCTGTTTCAAGGTGGTTTCACTAGATCCCCAACTTCCAACCACCAGATTGTCAGTAACACCCTTTCACCTTAGCTGCGGTAGTGGAAAATGTCTCCTGACTCTGTCAGATGTCCCCCGAGGGCAGATGTAGCTGTCGCTGGAAAGTACTGGTTTAGAACACAGGGGGAGTTACTTTGGTATCTTGAGTATCGGTCGGTTATTAGATTGAAACATCTATGTCTTGGGCCTTCGGTGCAGTAATGCCTTGAAGTTTCATACTAGGTGTTGAGTTAAGATGGTTCCTATCTGATGGACTAAGCATACTAAGTAAATGTTAGGAAACCTAGGTTGCATTTTTGGACCAGGGACAAAAAGAGTCGTGTGCCTTCGGTGAGATGGGTTAGTCCTGCGACGTTACACCTTCTCTCCTTCTTGGCATGTTTTTTTGTTTGTTTTGTTTGGCAAATTTTCCCTGTGCAGCTCAGGGTGTGCTGGCCTCAAGCATTAGATTCTCCTCCCTTCTTCTTCTGGTCACGCTGAGGTAATAGGTGTATGTTCCAAGCCCTCCTGAGTTCTTAGCCTAATGCCTCTCAACCTATGGGTCTTGACCTCCTTGGGTTAAATGATCTTTTCACATGGGTCACCTACGACTATTGAAAAACACAGATGTTTGCATTATGATTCAAATCAGCAAAATTACAGTTATGAAATAGCAATGAAAATGATTTATGGTTTGGGGCCACTCCAGCGTGATGAACTGTATTAAAGGGTAACAGCTTTAGGAAGGTTGAGAACCACTCTCTCCTATAGTCTTTGCAGATCCAGTTCTATATGCCTGGTCGCATATCTTCCAGACTTGGGCTAAAAGTAAACCTGATGTATTGAATTAAAAAGATAAGTTAGGGGTTGACCGCAATGCATTGTTCTAAATACTTCGGTTTGTTTCTTTTCTAGATTATTTAAAGAACCTCTTAGAAGACTCGGTAGATCACAGAGACACCCAAGGTAACTCCACTCTGCAGCCTTAGCGTTTGTACTACATTTACTTGGGCCTGGATAGGGAAGATACACTGAGAACAAAACCCATTTAGGAAGCTCTTTTTAAAACGTTCCCTCAGGCGCTGAAACTGTTACCAGGGGGATCGGTAAAGTGCTGCTGCAGGCAAGTGATAACAGTCACAGGAGACCCACAGGCTGGCCTCCGGGGCAGTGGGCGAGCCTGGGCTGATCTGGAAGCCTCTTCCTTGTGTGCTGTCACTCTGCTTCGGTGGGGTCAATCTGTAGATGTCCATTTCTCTGACTTTCAGAAGCAGATGGTCTGTGAGGTCATTCCACACTTGAATATCACTCCTACGAAGTGACTGAACTAGAGGTCAAGGATGAAGTTTATACGTGTAATCCCAGTACTTAGAAAACTAAGACCGGAAGATTGCCAAGAATTTGAGGCTAGCCTGGGGTACAAATTGCCCCTGACTATAGACAAAGCAACCCCTAAAAGGATAAAATCTAAAATAGCCTGTTGTTTGGAGAACCTTTATTGCTGGTGGCTTAATGCCTTTCATCCCTCTTACACCTTACCCCCCCACATACACTTTTTGGAGACAAGATCTTACAGTGTACTACAAGCTAACCTCAAGCACAAGACCTTCCCAGGTTTGAGGATTACAACCATATGCCCCCATCACTGGACTTTTTAGTGAGGAAAATAGCCTCCACAGCACAAGGAAGTATATTCTCTGTCCCTTCTCCCTGTCTCTCCATCTCAGACTAACTCTGGTTGGGGTTTCTGTTTCTCTTCACACGCTCTTCCAGGTGTCGTGGGCTTATCTTTGTGTCTTCAGAAATTCGTTAAGCAAGTCCATGTCCACTCCATTAATGTTTGAATTTCGAGCGTATTCTTATGTATTCTGTGTACCTTCAGATTTAGAACCTGAGTGACCGAGGGGGCCGGAGGTACGGCTCAGCACTTAAGAGCACCTCTTCCTGCAGAGGACCTGGGTTCAGTTCCCAGCACCCACATGCTGACTCGTAGCCGTCCATAACTCCAGGTCCAGGGGATCTTATGTCCTTGTCCGGCCTCTGCAGGCACCAGGCACACACACAGTGCACATACAAGCTGGTGGAACACTCATACACATAAAGTAAAATTTTAATAAATATTGTACTTGCTTCAAAGCCATTTTTAGAGATTCAGAATCATTGTCTCCTAGTTACTTTATGTCTCTAAGCTCTTCCATTGTGTTTTATTGTTTTATCTTTTGTTGGCTTTGCTTGGACTTTTAAAACAAGGTTTAATTATAGTATAGGTTGGCTTAAAAATTGCTGTGTAGCCAAGAGTGACCTTGAACTCCTAATCTCCCCCACCCCCTGACCTGAATGCTCTGGTTACATTTATTTGCCACCAGATCTTTCTATTTTGTTTTGAGGTACAGTGCCCTTGAACTCATGATCCTCAGCCTCTTCTGAGTGCCAAGGCCTGTGACTCTATTCCCAGCTTAATTTCTCTGATGTAATTGTTGTTTGTGATACTGTAAATTAAATCCAGGACGCAGGCTAAGCAAATGCTCCACCACTGAACAACACCCACAGCCCAGAGTTACACTAGCATTTTATTTAAAAGAAAAAAGTTTGAGGTTGCCTTAAATGATATTTTGTGTCTTTAGTGTTAGCCCAGTTGATGAAGAAATTTAAAATCACCATCAAAATAAATAATAAAGGAGATAGCTTTAGAGTAAGGATGCCCTGAGCTGTACTGAGTCATGTAGAAAGAGGAACTATGACAGTTGTGGGGGTGAAGAATTTTGACTTCAGAAAACAGGACTGTAGATGAACTTGAGTAGACAGAAGAAAAATAACATAAGACCTGAGGTTATAAAGTCATCAGTGCAGCGTTCACTCAGCATGCACAAGGCTTGGCTGGTTCCCCAGGACACCCCCCTCATATCCTCATTACAGTGATCTTGATAAACAGAGCCCCAAGCCTCTGTCTCATGTCTCAAGATTCCTGTCTTAAGGAAGTTGTCAGTGATGGTGTAGATGAAGTAGGTATAGAGACGAAGATCTTGATCCGTGGCCCCACCTACCTTCAGCTGAAGTGACCAGCCGACAGTGAGGTGCACCGTGTGCTCGGAAGCAGGGAGCAGATGGCATGCAAGGCAGCTGTGGGCTGCACTGTACCGGGGCGAGGGAAGCGAAGCAAGTACGTCTTTGAAAGCTAGACAGCCAGTGTAAAGGGGTAGAGCTGTCAGCATCTCTTAAGGAGATGGCATGGAGAAGGTTGTAGAGCTTGAGCATCAGGTGACCAAGTAGCAGTGTCTTTATCATTCATCCACGCAGTCCTGAGGTCCTCAACCCTGCTCACTACAAATCTCAGCAAGCCAGAGAAATGGGCATATCCAGGGTAACCATGGGGATAGGCCGTGGAGATAGTATCAGAGGCACAAGTTCTGGCGTACGGTAGGGATTGCTGCATAAAGACACTCTTGTTTCCTTTAATAACAGTGATAAGGTTGCATATTTTATCTGTTGCCTGTTTCCCCCTGGTTATACCCTCACTGAATCTTAATGTCTGTAGTTGTGGCTACTCACAGGCAGCCAAGTTCCCCTTAGAGTTTAGTTACTGCGTAGTAGGTGTTGTGTCAGCTGGACCTGCTTAATGTTGGAATCTGCTTCCTTGGTAACCAAATGCCCTTTCTGTTCCTGCATATTTTAGATGCCCTAGCCGTTGTCATAGAAGTAGCTAACCATGCCAATGACACCATGAAGCAAGGGGTAAGTATCTGGAAATCAAGGGCTGGTACACTGTGGAAGCAGGAAGCCTAGCCTTCACATGCTCTACCTTATCTCCTGTAGGACAACTTTCAGAAACTCATGCAAATTCAGTACAGCCTAAGTGGACACCATGAAATTGTGCAACCTGGGCGGGTAAGTGTCTGAGCATGCCTCCTACAGTTTTATACACTGGACACTGTCTGGAGCTATTTTTATTTTACTTCTGAAAATGAGTTATGTTACTCTTCAGTGACCTAATAGGCATCGCTTTATTCATTCAAAACAGAATGATGTAAGTCACAGTGACAAGCAGTCCAATTCAATTAGGAGAGAGGCAGAGGACCCCATGGAGTTCCACTAGAGTAATTTAATGGGGTCATTTGATTGTGTAATACCAGCTGAACTCACACAGCTATGAAGGCAGTGACATTGAAAGTCTTGAGGCCCAGAGGGGAAGGAGATTGTTTTCATGCACCTCATAGAGCACAGAAGTGGTCTAAAAATGAACTCAGGAAGTTGCAGACTGTGATTGTCAGGCCACTGGGTGTGCCCCAGGTCAAGTACACACGGGCAGTTATGTGTCAGTCCATAGGGTAACCCCTGGGGCTGGTACAGGACTTACGAGAACGATTGTTTACCTAAGTTATTTTTAAATTTTCTTCCTCTTTTTATCTTTTTTTAAGAAAAAAAAAAAAGGTGTGTGTGTTTGTGTTAGAGTGAGAAGGGACAGTTGTTGGGAGGATTCTCTCCTACCATGTAGGGCTCAGGAATTGAACTCAGGTCTTCAGGCTTTGCAGCAATTACCTTTACCCACTGAGCCTTCTCATTGGCCTCCCTTTTACCTTTTGAGACAGTCTTATATAATCCAGGCTAGCCTTGAATTTACGTTCCACCCCCCAAGTGCTGGGATTACAGAAGGACACTCCACCCCTTGCCTGTTTTATTGAGATGCTAAAAAAAATCAAACCTAGAACTTCACACATGCTAGGTGTGCATATCTTGCCAACTGAGCAAATCATCACCCTCTCTTTCTCTTAAAAATATTTTTTGATTTATATTTTATGTGTATGAATGTTTTGCCTACATGTGTACAATGTACACCACATGTCTGCAGTACCCACAGAGGCCAGAAGAGGGTGTCAGAGCTCCTGGAACTAGAGTTACAGGCAGTTGGGAGCTAGCCTCTGCAACAGCACCTCATCCACTGAGCCATCTCTCTGGCCTCTCTGAGTCCCATTTCTAACTTGGTATTGGGGCTTAAAAAGAGACCATGACCATCAAAGTCACAACGTGTCTCCATGCCTCCACAAAAAACGGTTGAAGAATGTTGAACAGAGATTCTGTGTTTATTGTCATTGTGTGGTGATGGTAGGACTAACCGGGTGTTTGCTTGGTTGAATTAGGTTTTTCTTAAAGAAGGCACCCTGATGAAGCTGTCTCGGAAAGTCATGCAGCCCCGAATGTTTTTCCTGGTAAGAGGCTCTCTGTGGTTTGACAGGTCCAGGCCTTGCATAGTGGAAGGCATGTGTACAATGCATGAACTCAGTGTACTCACATAGCAGCTTAGTGGTATTTTAGGGTAGCCATCTTGCTTTTTTCAAGCATAGGGATGATGAGATCAGAAATTTTTTTTCCTCTTAGGATTTAGTTTATTTCATCTTAAATGTGGAAGGATTGTTTTAGTCAGTTGTTTATTCAGGCAGATTGTAACTCTTCAGTGTGATTTAGAATCCATAAGACATTAAAACTCTAATACAACTTGGAAATGAAACAGCAATAGGAAGGCCATCGGGTCATTACCAACGAAGCAGATTCCAACATTAGCAGATCCAGTTGACAGAACACCTGCGACACAGTAACTGAACTCTGAAGGGAACCTTGGCTGCCTGTGAATAACCAGAATGACTAGACATTAAGATTCAGGGTATAACCAGGGGAAACAGGAAAAACAAGAGAAAGTTTCTGACACGTAATTTTGGTCGTGTGTGTTACTAGTATCTTTGTTGCTGACGTTAGTTCTGTACATGGTTTTGTGCTGTTTCTCCTTTCAGTTTAACGATGCTCTCCTGTACACCACACCCATGCAGTCTGGGATGTACAAACTGAACAACATGCTCTCCTTGGCTGGAATGAAGGTCTGTGTGCATCTTACGTTTCCCTTTATCCAAACATATGTAGAAATGAATTCCTGGCTTAGTCGCCTTTCTCCCCTCACCCTTCTCTTTCTGTTTGCTCCCAATTATGTGTCTGCTCATCCTGTCAGGGGTTTACTCTTGTGTTAATTCATCCAAGGAAGAGTTACTGAGAATTACTATAAGCAAAAATAATACCCAATTTGATTTAAAAAAAATATGAGGATGAATTAAAGGGTGATTCATTTAGTCTCCGCTTCGTCCCAAACCTCCCTGTGCCCCAAGACTTTGCAGCAGTGGAGACAGAATAAATGCACAGTCATAACGATCACTATGAAGGCACAGTGAGCATTTCTAGGAGTTCGAGACTACTGTGGCAGCATGCACTTTCAATCTCACCCACTAGGAGGACGAGACAAGAGGCTTGGGCTTTCTCAGCTACATAGCGAGTTCTAGGCTAGCTTCAGCTACTCGAGACTCTGCCTAAATGTAGCAAATAGGTAGGCAGGTAGATAGCCAAAGACAGGCTGGTGGTATATGCCTTTAATCCCCAGTACACAAAAGGCTGAAAGAGGAAAATAATTTGAGTTCAGGAGCTCAAGAGTACTTGAGGCAGCACAGTAGAACTCAAATATAATTATATATGTTTATATTTATATTTAAATAGAACTCAAATATAAATATGTATGTTTCTGTAGGGAGAGGGTTGTTGTATTAGGCTTTCTATTGCTGAGAAGAGGCAGCATGACCACTGTAACACTTAAATAGAAAACATTTAATGGGGCTGTCTTACAGTTCAGAGGTTTAGTCTCTTGTCACCATGCCAGGAAGCATGGCAGCATGCAGGCAGATGTGGTGCTGGAGAGTAGAAGAGAGTTCTACATCTGGATTGGCAGGCAGCAGGAAGAAGAGAGTAACACTGGGTCCAGCTTGAGCTTCTGAAATCTCAAAGCCCACCCCCAGTGACACACTTCCTCCACATCCACTCCAACAAAGCCACACCTCCAAAAATGCCACTCCTTGTGAGTCTGTGGAAGCCATTTCATTCAATCCACCACAGGAGTGTTTTTAAAAGGCTTGGTTTAGGATTGTGCATTTATTTTATTTCCCTGCCTGGCCTGTGTAGCCAGGGCTGGCACTGAACTCCTTATCCTCCTTCCAAATGCTGGAATCATAGATGCGAGCAGCCATACCCAGCCGTTCATGGTTTTATGAGAGAGAGTCTATTCCGTAGCACAGGTCAACTTAGTAATCAAGATGATCTTTTGTCTTATCTTCTTGATTGCTGAGATCACTGGTGTGAACCGCCGTAGCCAAGAAGAGCATGCATGTTTAGGTGTGGTGAAGGAATTAGTGTACTGCTTTTGATAGACACCTGAGAAACGGCAGGTGCTCCACAGTGAGACCCTTTCCGAAATAAAACAGAAAGCAAAACCCAGCACTTGAGAGTCAGTGAGCCGTGAATACAGACTGACGCGCTGGGACACTGGGAAGAGAGGTCCTGCCGAGTGGATGTCCTGACCTAAGGCTTTGAGATGCGGAGGCAGCTGCTCGTGGGCGGTTCAGTTTGTCTGGAGTGTAGACTCGATGGCAGAGTTGGTAGTACGTAAAGCTAAATGAGGAGACTGGCTGTGTACATTAGTATCCAGGGGCCTGGGCCGCTCCAGCTACTGTGCACATGTTGGATTTGTGGCCTGATAAGTTTGTCAGATATTTGTTCCTTCTTCCAGGTCAGAAAACCTACCCAGGAAGCGTATCAGAACGAGTTAAAGATTGAAAGCGTGGAACGTTCTTTCATCCTCTCAGCGAGGTAAGTGTGAATGTGTGAGTGAGTGTGTGTGTGAGCATGTGTGCACGTGCACATGTGAGTGAGTGTCTGAGTGTGAGTGTATGTGTACATGCATGTATGGTCATCACATACATACATGTACACACACATCTGTTGGGATGACATTTTGGTTGGGCAGTGGTGGCACATGGCTTTAATCCCAACAGTTGCCCTGGTCTACAGAGTGAGTTCCAGGGCATCCAGGGCGACACAGAGAAACCACGTCTGGAGAAACCAAAACCAAACAAACAAAAAGAAGTGACATTTTGCCAGTATAGCTTGCTCAGTGTTTTAAAGTTTATTTTTAACATTTAGGTCAACTTCTAGACGTTTTCTCTCTTCCTTTCCTAGAACTACTCGCTCACAAGTGTACTCTATACTGTCAAGCACACAACAGAGCTGATACAAGAACTTGCTAGAAATACAAAAATAGCCATGTTCCTCTAGATAGGATAATAGTGCTGGAATGTGTTATGCTGTTCACTTTTTAAATGTATTTCAAATATTTCTATAGTTTAACTTGTGGTTTTGAACACTTGCCACTTTAGACTTTACTAGGAAGATTTCATGTATCATTTAAGGTTCATAGCCCAGTGATAGTTACCTCACTAAAAATGAGGACACCAGCTTGCAAAATGTTGAGTTGTTCCCTTAATACAGCTAACAAATCCAGAGTAGAAGTCAGAGTTTCTGCTTTTGTGTCTGTTGTTACTGTGATATAGATCAGATTACCTCAAACTGAAACCTACAGTGCCTTACGTATAATGAAAACATGTCATAAGGACTGGACTTCATGGCACACACCTATAACAGGAAGATTATTATCCTCTACATGGTAACTTTGAGGCCAACCTTAACTATGTGATTCCCTGTCTCAAAACAACAGAGAAGCTATAACGTAAATCAGACACTAAGGACACACAAAGTTGAATGGCTCATACAAGTGTAACTCACTGTATTGTGCGTCACGCTACTCTGCAGATTGTGTGCTTTAATTTGTTTGTTTTGAGGCCAGATCTCCTTATGTGACCTAGCTGTCCCCAAATTATTAGCAGTCCTTTCATACCCATGTGTTGGCATTATAGCCATGTGCCACCACACCCCCTTCAACATTGTATAATCCGTGAACTGAAGGTTTGTGGCAGCTCAACGTTTCAGCCTTTCAATGCCCTTTTGCATTTTATAAATAAGGATATGTGTGTGCATGCATGCACACATGTGCACACATGTGCATGTTTATGTGTGCCTGTGTGAGTATATGCAAACATGTGCAGGAGGACAGAAGAGGACCCGCTAGTTCCATGGGAACTAGAGTACAAGTCTGGAATGATAAGTGGGTCGTCACGGTTGCTCAGCGGTCTTGTAACCACGCTGAGCCAGCCATCTTCTCAGCCGCCAGTGTCCTGTTTCCTGACATCACTGCTCACTTGATGTCTCTGCCATGTTTCTGTAATTCTCACAGTGTTTTTTTCCTCCTTGTATCTGTTTTCATGATCTGTAATACATGATGACTGATGTCTACATTTAATTGGTTTGGGGCACCATGATCATGCCTATGTGATACTGAGCTCAATTGAGAAATGTGTGCTTTTCTGACTGTGAACTGTTTGCCTGTATGTTTCCCTCTCCCATGTCCTCCCTATTTTGTTAGACAGAATCACTCTCCAATGGCCTATAAGTGTCCAACCCACTAGAAGAGTTATAACTTTATATCCTTCACTTCAAATCAAAAGCCACAAGTGATCAAGGTTTATACGGAAGGTGTGTCAAAAGCTCTGACAAGCAGAAATCTAGGCCACGTCATAAATGGAAAGGAAAAGTTCTTGAAGGCAATTAAATGTACTTCTCCACTGAATACATGGATAAAAGGAGCCTTACTGTTTTATGGGGGACATTTGAGTAACATGGATAGAAAATGAAACCAGTAGCAACATTCCCTTCAACTGAAGCCTGATCGCAAGTAAGGTCCTGGGTAGGTCTGTGAAACTCAGGGGAGGGGGAGGGCCGCAGCAGAGAGTGTGAAGCCAGCACAGGTCACTCCGTGAGGTTTGCGCTGTGCCTCAGCACACGCGAGCAGACGGTGCTGACATGGGAGCTGCAGTAACTTACACAGAAGATGCATCTGCAGTGACTGTAGAAGGCGGCCATGCTGCCAGCACATCTCCTGTAGAAATGGCCGTCCAGAACTTCAGAGCTAGAGAGGAGTCGGTACCCAGCTTCCTGCTTGTGTCTCCACATGCGATCCCCTACGCCTCGTCTTTCTGCCTTTTACAGGGAGCTCCTCCCCTATCTGAGCGTCATTACTTCAGTGAGTAGAATGGAGCCTCTGCCTTTGACTAAGCATCGTGCTAGGCGTAGCGGCGTAGTGGATGAGTGAAAGGGCTCTTCTTCACCAGACTTGCATTCCGCTAGGGCAGACGGGAAGGAGGAAGTATTGTAACTAAGTAGATTATAAATAGAGTGCTGACTGTTGTGAGGCTGTTAACTGAGCTAGTATTAGGGCAAAAAGGACATGGAGATAGTCCTTGAAGGCTTGTGTGTGCACTGACTTGTGTGTACACTGACTTGTGTGTACACTGACTTGTGTGTACACTGACTTGTGTGTACACTGACTTGTGAAGGGTAGGTGTTGGGTAACTAGGCAAAACAAAGGGAGGCCCCTCCTGGTACTTAGGACCGATGACCACAAAGGTCCTGCGGTAGAATGGAGCATGTAGGATGAGCTAGGAGATGTCAGGGCGAGAGGCACCCAAGAGAACCTTCGAGAGCCAGGTGAAGTAGTGTGCAGAACCACCTTGTAGATTTGGGTCTTCAGCATAAGAGCCACAGGAAGGCCACTTAATGATTTATAACCATAAATTCAGGGAATTCTACTCCTATTAGTGGGCCACACTTGGGAAGAAGGTGAAGGAAAGAATTGTTTCTCACGGGTTGACGGGCTGTATGGACTCTAGGTGGCAATGCCATTCCTTGGGATGAGTTTAGGGAAAACTTAGGGCTAGGTATGAACATTGAACATGCGAGGCATCAGCTCGGAGCCTCAGGCACCCAAGGATCTCGGTGTGAGAAGGAAGCCTGGGCTGGGTGTCTATGTGTGAATGCCATCATCGTGGAAGATGACCAAAACGCATGAGACTGAATTCGGGTGCACAGAGAGACTGCAGGTCCCTGTGAGACACTTGGAATTCTTCAGGTCCTGTCAGCCCCTCTGCAGGCTTGCCCTGCCACCTGAACAGAACAGTGCCACCTTCTGTATGCATTATGGACTGATTACTATTTCACCACTGCAAGGTGTGAGCCCTTAGCTGAAACAGATTTGTATGTATGGTTCACATCTTAGTCACTAACCTGTAACAGTCACCCAGTAAACGTAATTCAGAAGAGCCACAGAAATACTGCCTTTAAACATCAGCTTTGCACACTATCATCTCTCTCTCTCTCTCTCTCTCTCTCTCTCTCTCTCTCTCTCTCTCT